GATCGATTCAGGTTGAAGGAATTATTGGTCAAGTTGGGGATCAGGTTGATACCACCAACTTGAGGGGGGATGACAGAGTTGTAATGAAGTGCTGTTGGTTTGATGAAGAACAAGAGAAGTCTGCAATCCTTATTGCAGAAGGATTCGAAGTGGATCAGAGGAGAAGAGAGGAACGGCGTCGTCTTGCTAAGTCGTGGAGAAAGAAGAGGCAAAACGCACCGGATCGTTTAGTGGTTGATAGCCGTTGTTAGCCGTTAAATTTTACTGTTTATTTAAATATCTAGCCTATCGTGTAAGGACATCTGTCGTAGCTTTGTTTAATCACTTTCCTATCTATAAAAAGGAACAGAGGACTCAAACATTAGTTGAGCTTCCTCTTCCACAAATCTATCTTTCGCGTTACAGAAGGATTGACAAACTGGAAACTGGTGGCTGAAATGTTGTGGTCGGAATTCATATGGTCCGTTGACTGTTGGACTAATTTGAAGGTAAGCAAAGTTTGTTTTTTTATTTATTTATAATGGTGATGAACTTTATTAAAGGAGAAACAAATTAACAAGAAGAAAACAGGGAGAGTACCTCAATTTTCCACAAGAAATGGAAATGAGAGTTCAAAGAGACCTACCTACTGAAACCAGAAAAGTCGAAGAACATAACACTCAAAAAATGGCAAACAGCCCACAACAACCTGAAACAAAGGAGAGCCTGCAGACCCAGAGGGTTGCGTGCTGCTGCTAGGCAAGCTCACACCTTTAGACCAATATGAAAAGAAGTTAAGATCCACTATTCTCACGCCAACCAAGGAGCCATTGTCTTCCCTGGTCTTTCGTACCCTTGTCCTGCGAAACAATCCATTCCACGACAGTTCTGATAATCTTCTGCGAGATCAGCCTATGCGAGTGAGCATTTTGTTCGAAGATTCTAGAGTTTCGTTCTTTCCAAATGAGCCAGCACAACGCATGAAGGAGGCAGAAGGTGACCCATTGGCTGAAGCTAGAAGGAGTCTGAGAAGCCCAATCCTTGATGACATCGGAAATGTCGCCAGCTGCAGCTAGGTGACCGCCATTGGAGAGCAAGACCGCCTTCCAAACTTCCTTCGTGTAGTAGCAGTCAATGAAGATGTGATTAACTGTCTCTTCTTCACAGCAGCAGAGTGTGCATCGGTTTGCCATCTCACATCCACGACGTTTCAGGTTGTCCTGTGTCATGATCTTTTTATGCCAAACCAACCACATGAAGCCACAAACTTTCATTGGGACAGTATTTCGCCAAATTGATTGGTGAGGGAAGTCCGCAACACCTCCAAATTGGTTCTCCACTTGGTACCTGTACATAGAACTGACACTGAAAGAGGCTGTGAAGCACGGATTCCATACAACTCTACCAGGTCCAGCATAAATTCTAAAAGAATTGGTAGCAAGATAGTTAAGAAAGGAACATCTCTCTCTCTCAGCCCCCCACGTAATTAAAATAAAAAAGGAACATCCCAAGACAAAGATTCACCTGACCAGATCACAGAGTCTGAAATATGAGCTCCAGGATTACTTGCGGCAGCAGCTACTCTTGGGAAGGTGGTGGCGAGAGACGCACCAGGAATCCAGTGATCATGCCATAGAGAGACGCCACTTCCACCTCCAGGATCAACACAAGCTCCTTGCCAAAAAATTCCATCCACTTTCGAGATATTAGCCCAAACTGAGCTGCTGTATCCATCCGCGATCTTCTTAGTCTTCCACTCCGAATGAGGGTCTGCATATTTAATCTCAATTAACCTGCGCCACCAGCTTTCTCGCTCCGTAGCATACCTCCACTTCCATTTTCCTAGTAAGGCATTATTGAAGCTCTGAAGATCCATTACACCAAGACCACCTTTACTCTTTGAAGCTTTACACAGATCCCATCTAACGAGGTGGGGTTTTGTTGATTCACTTGAGTTACCCCAAATAAAATTCCGTTGAATTTTTTCCATTTTATCCACCACTGTCTTCGGTGCCTTCAGAAGCGAAAACCTGTAGACAGCTAAACTGTTAAGGGTGGTGCTATTCAGAATGAGCCGAGCACCAAAAGACAGAAGCTTGCTCTTCCAACCTTGCATGCGGTTCTGATAACTTGTGATCACCGAGTTCCAGATTGAGACTGCGTTTGGACGATCCCCAAGAGGTAAGCCTAAGTACTTCGTTGGGTCATTACTCCAATTGCACCCAAAAATGGCCACGAAGAAGCTGGATTCCGGAATATCACCCACGGTAAACATGGTGGATTTGTTTAAGTTAACCTTCAGCCTCGTGACCGCCTAAAAACAAACAAGGGTTGCAAGGATATTGATAACCTGGTCAGCCGATGCGTCACAGAAGATAAGTGCATCGTCGGCAAAGAGCAAATGAGTGACTTCACCATGATTCTGAGATTCGTCCATGAAAAAACCAGAAATGCCTCCATTGCTCCTCAGTTTCGTGATCATAAAAGATAAAACGTCCATAACGAGAACGAACACTCCAGGAGACAAGGGATCACCTTGCCTCACACCCTTTTCGGCCCGAAAATAACCATTAGCTTCGCCGTTAACCAAGATGGAGGTCATTGGTGTACATAAGCTCCACGGATCCATTGCTGCCATTTGATAGGAAACCTGAGACATGATAAAACTTTAAACAAGCAGCCCCAATTAAGGTTATCAAATGCCTTTTCAATGTCAAGCTTGAACATTAAGCCCGCCTTTTTGCTCTTACGTCTACTATCAAAGTTCTTGCCTTTGCTTTACTTGGATTGGTGGTGGATGAACATGAGAATTAACTTGAAGATTCAAGCTTTTGATTTCTTCTCACTTAGTGCTTGATCAAGTTGCCTGCTGGGTGCTAAATAGAAACTCTTGGGCTCAGGTTGAAGTATATGCAGATAATGAGAGTACCGAGAACTTTACTTTGCCGGGTAAGCTGCAAATGTATATTGGACGAGTTCCTTATAGTCATTTCGGGTGGATATGAAATCTCACTTGATTGGTTCACATTCGTTGCTTAAGTTTTGGGAATTTTTCTGCAGGTAAAGAAACATGCACTGGTCCTTTCCGATCACAGGAGTGATGTTGACGGGCTAATTGGATGTGTCCTTGTTCAGGTGCATACTCTAAAGTTCATGGGGTTTTTGAAAGATAATGATATGCTTCTAATGATGTTTGTGAATACCGACTGATCCACCGGTGATCTTCGTTCTTGTTTCTGATAGAATATTTTCTCTCACAAAAGTCCTCGGGTTGCCTCTGGCCCTCATGAAGAGAGAAAATAAATGGCTTCCTGTAAGTCCTTCATTTAATGCAAGCTCATTGCTTCCTTCTCTGGAATCATGTTTTGATAGTCATGGAATTGGCTACTACTGTTTGATGCATAGATAATAGGCTGGCTGGTCAAAGCGACATCTAGCAAGCCGACATTGCAGTCATTGTCATGAATGCTGTGGGGAAAGTCTATGATGGTAAGGCTGAGAGAATCTATTGCAGAACAGCAGATGCTGCTGAAGCCTTTGCCATCAGAGAAGCAGTGATGACGGCTGCTCAAGAGCCATGTTCCACGGTGATTATTTCTGACTGCCTGGAGATCGTTGAAGCTTTGAAGAGAGCTATGTGTGACTGGATGGTGAGTTGTGTTGCTACAACCGCCTCGATTCTGTCCTGCCTTGAAGGTATGGAGAATATTGAAGTAGCTCATTGTCGCCGCTGCGAAGTCAAGGAAGCTGACACCATTGCTCGTCTTGCTGTCAATGTTACCCTGCTTTCTGGATGGTTAACTAGTCTGTTTTAATGGTTGTAATCTACTGCTACTGTGTATTGCTGATGTTTGGCTTCTCCTTGTACTTCTACTGCATTTTGTGTTGGGTCTGTATGTTTGAAGCCTTTGGCTTTTGCTGGTGTTCCAAAAATAAAAAAAGAAAAGATCAGCCCTCGCCCATTTTGCTAATACAAGCTTCCGTGGTAAATTCTAATGATCAGATGGTACTTTTTACCAGGGTACGCACCAATGGGGACAGTCTGAATGCATTGGGAGTGGAATTTTGGAGAAGGACCTTCTCTTCTCCTCGTTCTCAGTGATGGCGGATCGAAGTGGAAGGCAGGGGAGCTGTGTTGAAACTTGCAAGCAAACGAGCACTAAAGCAAAGATATTTTGCACCATTCTTCATCAACCACTGCAATCAAAGTACAAATTTTCGATCATTAGGTTAGCTAGGCATAAATAGATCTATTGAAATTTGGGAAACACAATGAAACCAATGTTATACCCAAACTTTTGAGCACTAAAGCAAATGCCCGGGTCTGGAACAAAGATATTTTGCACCATTCATCAACCACTGCAATCAAAGTACAAATTGACAGTAAGTTAGCAAGGCATAAATAGATCTATCATGAAAATTGGGAAACACAATAAAACCAATGTTGCACCCAAACTAGAGTATGAACCAACCAATGTAACCATGGTATTATATATATCCAATACTCAGACTCTGAGAGGTTGGTGAAGTATGTAAACACCATGTGTACAACATTGGAACAATATGCAAGTGTACAACAATGAATTTTATGCATCGCAAATTACACGTAACTGTAAGCTCACGTATCGGATAACTCTATTAATCAAAATATATATTTATGTTAAAGTCAAGTTTTCGTCCACGCTATCAAAATTCTCACTCTTTTTTATCTATTTGAATAGATTTGCTATATTTATCTACATTGTTAAACATTTAGCTATTTTTAGTATTAGTTCACAAAATTATCGCTCAAAACAATTAAACTTAAGGGACCAATAACTTAAGAGACCAAGAGGTGCGGACTGCAGTAATCATTGTGCTAAAGTTAATATTTGTGAAATGTCATTTTTTATATGAATCAACGGAAGGTTAGTTTTAGCTCACCTATTATTCCGGAGAGAAGATAGGATCTACGAAAATTAAGAAGATTTTGTTGCCAAAATTTCCTATAAATGTGTGTAGAACTATGATCCACTTCACAAACCACCTCACTCACTAGCAACACAACATTAAACAAAAGGTTAAAAAGCAATCATGAAGATGTCAACGATATTCATCTTTGTTCTCCTGACGATTTGCCTCACTCACGGTAATTAATTTCTATCTCGGATTTCTCATGGTTTCATGTCAATTATTTTAGTTATTCTTGTTGCTTAACATGTATCAGTTATTTCATAGTTGCTCTTGTTCATCGAATTCATGGATTATGATGTACATGTGGGTAATTATCTATGCAAACCAACCAATTGGTGATTTGATTTTTTGTTGTGATTATATATATTTGGGATCATGAAATAGGAACTGAGGTTGCAGCAGCTGCAGAGTGTCGAGCGAAGATCTGCGAGTTTGATACCATTCAACTAAGTGGATACGATAGAAATGTCGGCGGCTGGGTTCCGAATCCCTTGCGCAATATCTGCGACTGGGCATGCCAAAGAAAGTTTGGAGATTCTGTTTTTGGGCGCCGTGTTTCCTCCAAGGGCTTTGTGCCTGATGGAATATCTTGCACCTGCTTCAAGGCCTGTGTTATCCTTTGAATTCAGGGAAGGGATTCTCTAGCCTAGGGGAGGGATAATAATTGATTAGTTCATTTTAATTGTGTATTTATAATATAAACTACATGTATTTGAGATATTAGCATTTGAAATACATGTAATTTACATTTGTTGTTTGGATACTCATTTGTTATTTGTTAGTGTTTTAGATTTCAGATGTTTTTTATTTTAATTTTGAATTTTCGGGTCACAACGTACTTTCATTGGTTCTAGCAATCTCAAATGGTTACAGCGTACTTTCATCAGGGATATATTCTAGATCTAAGTTTATTTGTATTGATTGATGTTGGGCATGTGACTCGGACCAAGCCGCACCAAAGAAACGCACCGATGTTACCCCAGTTGCTGCCGTGACCCGCCTAGGCACGCCACGACCGAAGACCTCTCGCGCGGCATAGCGCGAAGACACCGGCGCGGCTCAGCGCAAAGACCTCGAACGCGCTACGGGTCATGCGCACGTAGAGAAGTTGAAGCGCGGACCAAACCAAAGAGCCGCAGAAAGCGTCATCGCGCTTCCCAAGAGGTAGTCACATCAAGGATGTCACACCCTCCCCACTTGAGGTACTTGTTACACATGCATGCTTTGTGGTTTAAAGAGCAAATCAAATTTAGATGGTGCGCTCAATGAGTTGGCAAAGTTGAATAGAAATAGGAAGGGTATAGGAGGCTCTTAAGTACGTTGTGTCAAATAAAATACCATGATATGATTTGGTGGAGAATTTGGTAAATTTATTGACATGGAAAGAATTAATCACATTCCCTGTCTTACCGCTACCCTCCATTTATCACCACACTGAACCGAAAATGGGAAGGAGTGCCTCTCATGTCACCACCTCACACCCTTGGAAATAGTTCCACCTGCTCACCTCCATGCAAAGCCTACACGTAGTAACTCTTCCCACCTTATAAGTAAAACAAGATAAGGGAAGGATATAAGTTTATCCCCACCCTCCCTTCTTGCTCCTGCAACCGGTGGGAGAGAAGTTTATCCCAGTGACCACTCTCATAGGTCACTGGAATAAAGGATCAACAAGATAAGTTTATCCCCAACCTCCATGCAAAGCCTACACGTAGTAACTCTTCCCAATAACCTTAAGCCGTAAATGTTGATCCTTTATTCCAGTGACCACTCTCATAGGTAGAGGGGAATTCTAAGTACTAAGGTTAGCGAGGGGGATGCCTATTGCTTCAGGTATGTACCAACCCTTCTTATCTTTAATAACTTAGTTTAAGGTTACAGGTGATACTTTGCATGATCCGGGTAGCTATATAGGGAGGGTGTACTGGGTTAGTTGATTGCCGAGTTTGTGATGGGGGATTTACTCCAAAAATCTTACATGTAAATGCTAAATGGTTTATTGTTAGTGAGATTCCGGTCTCGGCCTTATACGAAATAGTGCATGTGGGTGGAGTTAATCTCTTCATTGAGAAAGAAAAAGAACTGCTAATAATGATAATGGGTGTGAGTTGTACACTTCTGGACAGTATACATATATATACATGCATACAACAAAGGTTATGTGAGTATGTGTATAAAGGAGGCAGAGAGGATTTTGGTTATGATTAATTAGCTGTGGCTTGTTTAAACTGGACGTGTCAACAGGAACAGGGGGATCTTGTGAGCTGGGTATATAAATAAGAAGATGATAATTAGTTAACAATTAGATAATAGTTTCAGGGAGGGTTGTAATCGTCTAGCTTAATTATGTGCGGATTCTTAAGTGGTTTGTGTGTTGGGAATTAGAAGTACTCGGTTTGTGTGTGATTTAGTGTTGTGAAAGGATTTAACGTGTACCGGAGGTCAAAGAATCATCTCATGTGAGATATGAGTACACTTTTGATATATATATATAATTGTTATCTTAATCGTGATTAAGGAAAACCATGAGCTCTTGTACTGAATCTTTTATGCATCACTTTTCAAAGGAAAAGCGGAAATCGGGGAATCATTGAAGCAAAACGGAATAGCTTAATAGCAAGTTTATGGTGAGTAAATCTTAACCTAATGCTTATATTAATATGATTATAGTATTCGGGTCATGAAGTGGCCCGAGTATAACATGTATGATGGCTTGGTAAGACTTAAACCAATTATGATTGAATGTCAAGTGTGGCGTGGTTATATGATTGCATGAGATGAAATGATTGAATGACACTATGATTGGATGAGGTTACCATATTGTGGTAATTATATGATGATGTGATGATATGATAACATGATTGTATGATGATATGACCAGAAGGTCATAACACATGTTATGTGAGTGCTAAACGGTATTATGTGATGAGTATATATGAAATGTGAAATGGTATTCAAGACAGTCAAGTTAAAAGAATGGAGAGAAAGGTTGCCTATTGTGAATGATACGAGATGAGATAGAATGGCATGTGAGCCATACAAGTCAATGTGATATGAAATGGCCTTGCGGCACACAAGTGATACATTGAGTTGTGACTAACTATAAGACTTTGCATGGTCACCTAAAGCAAACGTAATGGCGCCCTATCATGCACTCATTACAAGTGAAAAGAGGCTTCAAGCCTAAGAGATAAAGAGTTATACGAGAACTCCTTTTAAGGAGTAATGCTAGGCCTGGCTACGAGTTTATGAGATATGGCACGCTGTGCCCCACGAGTTAACGAGTTCATGAGATAAGGCACTTTGTGCCCACGAGTTTACGAGATTTGGCACTTTGTGCCTATGAGATTACGAGTTCACGACATCCCGGGGAGTGCATGACTTGGCAAATTAAAGAATAAAAGCTACCGAATCCAGCTAACTATATGTATGTGTATGATTGGATGCTGATGCATTTCTCTAATCACCTGTAGCTTCCCCAGTCATCTTCTTGATTGCGATAAGAATCAATTTTCTAAGTGCATGATAATTGTCGAAAACATATTGATTCCACGTGCTTAATGTGATTATTTTATAATATATTTGAGACATATAATGCTTGTTTTAAGGCAACTGACTATGAAATGGTATTACCACACCATGTGTTAAAGAGTTTTGATATGCTTTTAGGTGGGGAAAGAAGAAACTGTGAATGTGCAAACAAAATACCCAAGTAGTTGGATCAATGGCCGATCTAAAACTAAACCGGCTTGTACCAGCTTCCTAGATGGGTGGCGATCAAAGGAACTTGGACCTGCATTGAAGAATTGGGGCGCTGCGTTTTGGGTTTATTTTGGAATTGGGCCGAGATCGAGCAACAGCGCGCGGAGCAAGCAGAGTGGCGATTGGTGCGACAAGGATTGAAGCCGGGATTCCCTGGCCCAAATATGAATATGCATTGTTGCAAAACAGAGCAGCCCAAGCCCAGCCTTTTATTTTAATGGACTCACGTTAGACGTAATCTTACAGACACCACTATATGCATTCATAATCCCATTCCTACGTTATTTCCTACATATAACTGACAATTCGAGAAGCTGTCGAGAGTGAGAAATTCAAGTTAGGAGGAACAACAGAATATGTACAGTGACAACCTTGGGGCAGGGAGACATACATACATCACGTACGAGAGATTGGAGTCTCCTGTACATACCTTTATGCCTAGCTTAGTAGCTTGTTTACAAATGTAAGGGAACAAAATTCCATGATTTCTTGCTAAGCTAGTAAAGGCTCCATTGGGGGGAAAATCCTTACCCTTACGACATTCTCTCTTTCCATGCATTTCGTGTGTAGTGTTCTCGATCGATCGGTTACATAAATTCCAGTTTGTGTTTGTGGTTCGTCTAAAATTCTAGATGTCAAACAACCAACTTTTTCATCAAACTTTAAAATTCTCCAATTGTTAGTTATATTTACGTACGTCTAACAAAACCGTTAAACTGAGCAGCCCAGCCCAGCCCAGCCAGCCTTTATTTTAGTTCCGTCTAATGATACCTTTTTTCGGAAGAGTTTAGGATTCGAACTCTACAAGAGAGGAAGAGGGAAAGGTTATACCGAGACTCCTTCCTTGGTGTTTATTTTAGAACGAAACGAAACAGTGGAGACTCCTTGGTTAGAATTCCCCCCTCTATATATTCAATTCATCATCGAACTAGCTAGTATAGCTACTCACTGAGAAATTAAAGAAGCAAAAATGAAGTCAATGTTCTTCGTCTCCCTCGCTCTGATTTCCACCATAGCATTGTGCTTGTCACATGAAAACCCCGAAACGAGCACCTACATAGTCTTCCTCGAAAACCAGCTGAGACCCAAAAACCAGCAGCTGCTGTCATGGCACAACAGCTTCCTCCCCGAGGCGGCCATACGATCGAGCCAGCCGCCGCGGCGCATCGTCCACTCGTACCGCAACGTGATCACCGGATTCGCGGCGAGGCTGACACCCGAGGAGGTCAAGGCAATGGAGGTGAAAGAAGGGTTCATCTCGGCCAGAGTCCAGCGAAAGCTCTCCCTCCACACAACGTTCACACCCGAATTCCTGGGGCTGCAACAAAAACGACGAGATGACGGTCATGCATCAGGAGGAGCCGCCAGCTGGACGTTCCCGAATCAAGGTGAGGGTGTGATAATAGGGCTGCTCGACAGCGGGATCAAGTACGACCACGCCTCCTTCCTGAACGACCAAGGCATGCCCCCCCCCGCCAGCCAAATGGCGGGGCCGGTGTGACTTCAACGGCGGCAAGCGCACGTGCAACAATAAGCTCATAGGTGCCCGCAGCTTCATCTCTGGGACTCAACGAAGCAACGATGATGTCGATCTCCCGTGGGAAGACGCCTTCCATGGAAGTCACACCGCTAGTACAGCGGCGGGGAGCCCCGTCGTAGGCGCCAACCTTTTCGGCCAGGCCAATGGGACGGCAATGGGGATTGCACCCAGAGCCCACCTCGCCATGTACAAGGTCTGATAATTAATTTGTTGTTTCTTTCTAATTTTGCGTCTACCCTGCCTGCCTGTTGTTGTATTTCTTAATTAGCTAATTTGCTCTGTTCAATTCATCAATTCCACTCTGTTTTTTTTGGGTATATATGTACAACAAGGTCTGCAAAGAAGGAGGGTGTTACGATGGGGACGTATTGGCAGGGATCGATGCTGTGTGAAGAGAAGTGCCCTGAACAACAGCAGCAATCTCCTCAGCAGCAGAACAGAAGCAGAGTCCATTTCCAGATTAACGAGAAGAACAGAGAAGAACACTTTTGTTCTGCTGCGCTGCTCACCGTTTTGCCTTATACGCTGCGTTGGAGACTTATTTCAATTCCAACGTCTAATGTACAGTGTTAGACAGATGTATAGCTTTGATTGGTTCTTTTGTAATTACTAGCTGTTAGATTAGTTGCAAGTGATTAGTTTAGCTTTCCTTTGTCTCTTCCCCAATTGTACAGTGGTATATATTACAGCAATTGCTGAATGGAAAAGGCCAGTGAGCCGACTTCCCCAAAACCCTATCTGGCTCTTTCTTCTTCCCTTTGCTCTTTAGAGAAGAAGGGTTTCCCCAAGACTCAAAATCTTCACATGGTATCAGAGCCTGGTTGGCTTTAAAAACCCTTCATTTTTCACACATTCCTTTCCCCCTTTCTGTTTCTGAATCATCATGGCAACTGGAGCTGAAGAAGGTGGCGCAGCTGCCATCATTCCTCGTTTTGAAGATCCCTACAACAACCCATACTACCTCGCTCAAAGTGACAACCCATTCATGCCGGTCAGTGGATGCAAACTTACAGATGACAACTACCTGCTGTGGAGTGAGTCAATGGAGGTCGCCCTGAAGACCAAAAACAAGTTTGGCTTCGTTGATGGCTCCATTCAGGTACCTGATGTCACTGATCCCCTTTTCTCTACATGGGAACGATGCAATGGGACTGTTGTGTGTTGGATTCGTAACTCTGTGTCTGAGGATATAGTACCAACTCTTATAAGCATCAGATCTGCAAAGGATGCTTGGGATTACCTGAAATCTAAGTTTAGCCAAGGTGATTCCATTCGTATTGCTGACCTACAGGAGAAGATTGACCTAGCTAAACAAGGGAATCAATCTGTTAGGCAGTATTTTACTAATCTGAAGGTCTCATGGGATGAACAACATTCCTATTTGCCTATTCCTTTTTGTGATTGTGAGGCAAGAACCTATAGCACTGTTATGAAGTACCGAGAGAATGCTATGGTGATTAGGTTCTTGCTTGGGTTAAACCAAAACTTCCAACAAGCAAGGACTCAGATGCTCATGATAGAGCCCTTGCCAGATCTGGATACAGTGTATCGATCTGTTGTGCAGCTGGAAAGGCAAATGAATGGTACCAGTCTTACAGGTGGTAAATCAGCAGAGGCTATTGCACTGGCTGCAACTGGCAGTCAGGGTAGGAACAATCAGAACTACCAGAACAATCAGAACTACCAGAGCAACCAGAATTCACAAAAGGAGGAAAGGAGAGGGGAGCTGTTTTGCAGGTATTGCAAGAAGGACAACCATGTCATTGAAGATTGTTGGAAGTTAAAGAAGAAGAACAAGGGGGCTGGGAATTCTGGAGCAGGAGGATCTGGGGGTAGAGGTTTTGCAGGCTCAATTGACACTGTGTCAGATGGTCTTTCAGGCAATTCACAGTACAACCCTCCCAGTCCTGGTCCAGAACCGAGGTGCTCGAGTTTCACAGATTCTCAAACACTGCTTGCCAGTTTCTCAAATGCTGTGGAAGAACTGGGAAAACTCAGGAACATGTTCAACTCTCAGGCAATGCAGCAGTCATTTGGAGCAGGTCCAAGCTCACCAAACAAAGGTTCTTCATCTCAAGCAAACTTGGTAACAACAAGGAACAGTGGAAAAGCCCCTATGTCAGGTAGCATAACACTCTCTTCCTCTAAACATGCATATGACAAGGGTATATGGGTCCTAGATACTGGAGCTAGTGACCACATTGTTTGTGAAATTTCCTTTTTCTTGAGATGTAGACCTATTCACCACATATCTGTCACCCTTCCTAATGGAGAGCACACCCCAGCCAGCCACATTGGAATAGTTAAGCTTGATTGTGGGATATTACTCACTAATGTTCTTCTAGTTCCCTCTTTTTCCTACAATCTCATTTCCATAAGCCAGTTAACCAAGAGTTCCCCAATCTCATTACTCTTTCAATCTCATTTCTGTTTTATCCAGGACCTTGTCTCTCGACAGAGGATTGGTTCAATCCAAGTAAGTAGAGGCCTATACCTACTTGGAGATTCCAGCACCCAAACAACCACTTCTAAAGTTTTTTCAGCCACTTCAGGAGGAACACACCAAGACTCAGACCTTTGGCACATGAGACTAGGACATCCTTCTTTGTCTAGATTACAAGAGTTACAGAAAGATATAGAAAACATAGCTTTACCTTTATCCAAACATTGTGAAGTTTGTCATTTTTCAAAACAGAAGAGGTTACCTTTTAATAGGAGCTCCAGTACTAGTGACTCCATTTTTGATCTTGTTCATATTGACATATGGGGACCAGTTGATGTGATGTCTATTGATGGATTCAAGTATCTTGACTGTGTTGGATGATTGTAGTAGATGTGTATGGATTTATATGATGGCTAGCAAGTCTGAAGCCAGGAGTCTTGTTCAATCTTTTTATGCCATGGTTCTGACTCAGTTTGAAAGAAAGATTAAGGTGATTAGAACAGACCAGGGACAGGAATTTCACATGCCAGAATTCTATCAAGCCAATGGCTTGATTCATGAGATGAGTTGTGTGAAAACTGCACAGCAGAATGGAAGGGTGGAGAGAAAACACCAACACTTACTGAATGTTGCTAGGTTATTGAAGTTTCAAAGTGGACTGCCTATTAGCTTTTGGAGCTATTTTGTGATGCATGCTGCATACTTGATAAACAGAATCCCTAGTCCAATCTTAAAGAACAGAACTCCTTTTGAGGTTTTGTTTGGGATACCTCCTGATTATAGTGATCTGAAGGTATTTGGTTGCTTGGCTTATGCCACCAACAAGGATGGCAACATGACTAAGTTTAGTCCTAGAGCTAAGAGGTGTGTGTTCATTGGATATCCTTTTGGGATTAAAGGCTACAGGCTGTATGATACTGAAGAGCACAAGGTGCTCTTCAGTAGAGATGTTCTCTTTCATGAGATGGAGTTTCCTTGCAAGCAAGCCAATGAACAGAACCCAACCAGCCAAGAACCAAACAGCCATAACCCTTTTTCATATACTGAACCCTTTTCTGAACCTCTTATACCCTCTGACCACAACATTCATGAGACAAATGACCCTGATTACACCCCTGAACCAGATTCCCCCTTTTCAACCCTATCTGTCTCACCTGAACCAGCCATCACCCCTACTTCTACCCCTATACAAACTTCACCTTTACCTAGTCCAGGGTCCTTACCAATTGCACTAAGGAAGGAGCCTAGGAACTCTAAACAACCTAGTTGGCTGCAGGACTACCACCTCAACCTGCTGACCACTTCAGACAGAAACATTGAGCATGATATGCTCTATCCCATTTCTCAAAACCTCACATACAAAAACCTAAAACCCCTTCAGAGATCCTTTGCCCTTAACATTTCTACCATCCTGGACCCACAAACCTATTCTCAAGCTTGCAAGGACCCACGTTGGAACAAGGCCATGAAAGAAGAGTGGGATGCCCTGGAAGAAAACAAAACCTGGACTATTATGGACCTTCCTCCTGGGAAGAAGGCCATAGGATCTAAATGGGTATACAAGACTAAGTTCCTATCAGATGGAGGTATAGAAAGATTTAAATCCAGACTTGTGGCAAAGGGGTATACTCAAGTTTATGGGGTGGATTTCTGGGATACCTTCTCACCAGTTGCAAAACAAAATTCAATCAAGTTGTTGCTGGGATTGGCAGCAGCAAAACAGTGGCACTTACACCAAATGGATGTAAGTAATGCATTTTTGAATGGATACCTTGATGAAGAAATATACATGGAATTGCCTCCAGGTTACAATCAGCTGCCTGAGTACAAGGGAAAGGTCTGCAAACTTGAAAAATCCATCTATGGATTGAAACAAGCAAGTAGGCAGTGGTTTGTGAGATTGACTGATGTCTTATTGAAGCTGGGATTCAAACAGTCATATGGAGATTACTCAGTTTTCAGTTATTCAGCTAATGGAGAACATCTCTTCTTGGTGATCTATGTTGATGACATGATTTTGGCAAGCAGTAGCTTGAACCTGATCAGCCAAGTTAAGGGATGGTTGAAGAAAGAATTCAAGATCAAGGATTTAGGTGTTTTGCTATATTTTCTTGGTTTGGAAATACAGAGAAGCAAGGCAGGAATTGCCTTGAATCAGAGGAAGTTTTGCCTTGAGATGCTGGCCAATGCTAGTTTCCTAAATTGCAAACCTGCCAAGACTCCCTTGAGCATGAAAACAGTGTTATCAGCAGCAGATGGTGAGACTTTAGAAGATGGGGAAATGTACAGGCACTTGTTGGGACAACTTCAATATCTTACCACCACAAGGCCTGACATTGCTTTCCCAGTCCAGCAACTTTCACAATTTCAGGCTAATCCCACTACAACTCATCTGCAAGCCTTACACAGGGTATTAAGATACTTAAAGGGGAGTCCAGGACAAGGATTATGGTTTTCTGCAGAATCTGACTTGACCATTTCAGGATATAGCGATTCAGATTGGGCCACTTGCCCTGACACTAGAAGATCAGTTACTGGATACTGTACCTTCCTTGGTACATCCTTAATCACTTGGAAAAGCAAGAAGCAGTCCACTGTCTCCAGATCTTCATCTGAGGCAGAATATCGAGCACTTGCACAACTCTGTTGTGAAGTGCAGTGGCTAAAGAGCCTTATGGAGTTCTTTCAGGTACCACATCCCCAACCTATACCATTGTTCTGTGACAATCAATCCGCTATATACATCGCCAACAACCCAGTCTTTCATGAGAGAACTAAGCACCTAGAGGTTGATCTACATATCACTCGTGAAAGACTGCAGACTGGTTTGATTTCTCTTCAACATATACCTACCAATTATCAACCAGCTGATATTTTCACCAAGGGATTGAGCACAGAGCGGTTTCGCTATTTATTGAGCAAGCTGGGTGTTTTGGATCAATACACGCCAGCTTGAAGGGGCGTGTGAAGAGAAGTGCCCTGAACAACAGCAACAATCTCCTCAGCAGCAGAACAGAAGCAGAGTCCATTTCCAGATTAACGAGAAGAACAGAGAAGAACACTTTTGTTCTGCTGCGCTGCTCACCGTTTTGTCTTATACGCTGCGTTGGAGACTTATTTCAATTCCAACGTCTAATGTACAGTGTTAGACAGATGTATAGCTTTGATTGGTTCTTTTGTAATTACTAGCTGTTAGATTAGTTGCAAGTGATTAGTTTAGCTTTCCTTTGTCTCTTCCCCAATTGTACAGTGGTATATATTACAGCAATTGCTGAATGGAAAAGGCCAGTGAGCCGACTTCCCCAAAACCCTATCTGGCTCTTTCTTCTTCCCTTTGCTCTTTAGAGAAGAAGGGTTTCCCCAGGACTCAAAACCTTCACATGCTGCGATCGATGACGGGGTAGATGTTTTGTCAATGTCAATTGGACCTGATAATCCTTACCCATTCTTCGAGAATGGTGGCTATGTGGGTGCGTTTCGAGCCATCCAAAAGGGCATCTTCGTGAGCTGCTCAGCTGGAAACGACGGACCCAGCCCCTACTCCGTCACCAACGACGTGCCATGGGTGTTGACGGTGGGAGCGAGCACGATCGACAGGGAGATTCGGGCTACGGTGAAGCTAGGGAACGGCGTGGAGCTCCACGGCCAATCCATCTTCCGGCCTCAAGTCCGTCATCATCAGCAGCGGCCACTCCCAATCGTCGTTCCTGCGGATCAGGTTGGCAACGATGAGCTGCCAGCATTTTGTGTTCCCGGTACCCTCAACCAGATCGATGTCAAGGGCAAGATAGTGGTATGCCGCGTCGGAGGCGCGTCGTTCAGCGACCTGGCGCGGGAGGTGAAGGACAACGGCGGCGCGGGCATGATCGTGGTCAACCATGTGGGGAGAGGCTACACGACCCCGGCGTACGCCTCCGTCGTTCTCCCTGCATCGCTGCTCAGCTACAGGGATTGGATGATCCTCACGGACTACTTGCGCTCCCCCGCCAAGCGCCACACGGCAAAATTAGCATTCCAAGGAACTTTAATCGGCGGCACCAACCCAAGTGCCCCGCAGCTGGGATCCTTCTCGTCTCGAGGCCCCAGCCTCCAGTCCCCGGGGATCCTGAAGCCCGACGTCATCGGCCCGGGGATCGACATCCTGGCTGCCTGGGGAGCCTCAACCGACAACGCTACAGAAAACCCGTTCAATGTGCGTTCAGGAACCTCAACGTCATGCCCACACCTCAGTGGAGTGGCGGCGCTGATCAAGAGTGCCCATCCGGACTGGTCCCCAGCCGCCATCAAGTCAGCCATTCTGACCACCGGCTACGCGCTGGACCTCCGCGGCAACCCGATTTCGGACGAGCAGAACGTCACGGCCGCGGTGTTCGGGGTTGGTGCGGGCCACGTGGACCCGTCGAGGGCCCTGGACCCAGGGTTGGTCTACGACATCCACCCCGACGACTACATCCCGTACCTCTGCGGGCTGGGCTACAGCGACAAGCACGTGACGATGATCGTGCAGCGGAAGGTGAGTTGCGGCGATGTAATCCCCGTACCGGAGGCCCAGCTGAACTACCCGACGTTCTCCATCCGGCTCGGCGCGGGTGATCGGAAGACGTACACCAGAACGGTGACCAACGTCGGCCCGCCCAGATCTACCTACTCTGCCGTGGTTCGGTCGCTGGAGGAAGTTGGGATTGCGGTCACTGTCGTGCCCAGCGAGATCAAGTTCGATGAGGTGAATGAGAAAGCCAGCTATGCGGTGACGTTCACCCGGCTGGACAACATCACGAGGAGCACAGCTGTTTCCAGAGGCTCCCTCGTGTGGTCAGCAGCGGACTGCGGGTACACCGTGGTCAGCACCATTGCAGTTGTCTTTCTATGAGAGACAACAAAATAGCTAGAGACGTACTACGTACGGTATATATGTATTATATGCGACGCTGTGAACATCGTTTGCTCGTTGCCCCAATAATGCACCAACAAAACAACAGTACTGATCATAGTGATTAGTGAAATGTGACCGATCGATCGAGAATATTGTAGAAACTAAACTGCACATGCATGTAGTATGTGGCAGTGGAGACTGGAGAGGGGTAATATAATATGGTATGAATTCGTGGATGTTAATTTTAATGATGATGCTATTATTACATATTAATGGTATGAAGCGGATAGTTCCATGCATGCATGCTACTTATTAAAATACTGTTTTCCTTCGTTTCCAAAGGCTCCCTCCCTGGTTAATTATATATCATCTTTGTTCTTTTTTCTTTGCTATATCAATGGGTATTCCATTCGTGTTGAGTCTTTCCTGTTAACAATACCCTATGTGTGAGGGTATCTACTATATACACAATAGCGTGTTGGAAATAAAAAATTATTTCCTTTAGTAATTTTGGTGGGCACGTAGAAGAGAGTAATGGGAAGCGTTGATTGATTGGTGGGAAATGGGACAAGAAAAACTTGGCAGAGAGAATTTGGAAGAGGAGCTCTTTCTTTCTAATTTGCTTCTTTCTTATTTTGGGACTGCTCATACACGAAAGCATCAAGCCTTTATATAGGCTCCAAACTATACAAAATATCAAGCATCATTTATGGTAGGAGTTGGGAACCGCCTTACCATTTCTGGCTCTGGTTTTTTTTCTTTCTTTTATATTCACAACTAACACCAAACCATAATTAAGTAAACTACCACACAATTCCATACTTACCCACTGTTCTAGCTAATTCCAGCAAGTTCTGATTTTTTTTAATAATTAAACTTTAATTTCAACACTCCCCCTTAAAGTTTAATTCGGTGTAACTCCGAGTAGCGTCCTCAGTTTGACGAACACATCTTGCTTCAGCGGCTTCGTGAAAATATCAGCAATTTGGTCTTCAGTCTTCACATACTTCAACGTTATTTCTTTTTGTTCCACACATTCTCTTAAGAAATGATACCTCGTATCAATGTGCTTACTACGATCATGAAACACCGGATTCTTTGCTAACGCCAGGGCAGACTTATTATCAACATAAATCTCAGTTGACTCTTCCTGTGTCATGTTCAATTCCTTCAGCAACTTTCTCAGCCATATTGCATGACACGCACACGATGTCGCAACAACATACTCAGCTTCACAAGTTGACAGTGTCACGATAGCTTGCTTCTTTGAACTCCATGTGAAAGCTGTATCTCCTAGGAAAAATACAAATCCTGTAGTGCTCTTGTGATCATCCACGTCTCCTGCCCAATCACTATAGCAGTATCCAACCAATTTGAAATTTTCTGACTTGGTATAAAGTAGACCATGATCGATTGTACCTTTGATGTAGCGCAGTATCCTCTTTGCAGCATTCCAGTGTGACATAGTTGGTGCCTCCATGTATCTGCTTACTAATCCAACTGCGTAGAGAATATCTGGTCTGGTACAAGTCAGGTATCTCAGACTTCCCACCAGGCTTCTAAACTCCGTTGAGTTGACCTTCTCTCCTTTACCATCCTTGGATAACTTTAGTCCGCACTCTGCTGGTGTACTCACAGGATTACAGTTCTCCATCTTAAACTTCTTCAGGACCTCCTTTGCGAAGCCACTCTGTGAGATAAAAATTCCTTCATCCTTTTGAGTTACTTCAATTCCAAGATAGTATGACATTAGTCCGATGTTTGTCATCTCGAACTCACGAACCATCATCGTCTTGAACTCTTCAAACATCTTAGGATCGTTGCCTGTGAAGACGAGATCGTCTACATATAGACAAACCATCAAGATTTCTCCCCCTTGCACCTTGCAGTATAGTGCATGCTCATGTGGGCATTTACTAAACCCATTCTGCTGAAAGTACTTGTCAATCCTGCTATTCCAAGCTCTCGGTGCTTGTTTCAGACCATACAATGCCTTTTTCAGCTTCAACACCTTATCTTCTTGACCTTCAACGACATATTCAGGGGGTTGCTCAATATAGATATCTTCCTCGAGATATCCATTCAGAAAAGCTGACTTCACATCCATTTGGTGTATCTTCCATCCATTTTGAACAGCGAGAGATATCACCATCCTGATACTCTCCATTCTCGCCACGGGAGCAAAAACTTCATTATAGTCAATGCCGGGTCTTTGACTATATCCTTTAGCCACCAATCTTGCTTTGTGCCTGACAACTTCTCCTTTAGCATTCTTCTTCGCTTTAAATACCCACTTCACACCGATGGGATTCTGGTTCTCAGGGAGTGACACAAGCTCCCAAGTCTTGTTCTTCTCAATTGCTCCAATTTCTTCATCCATGGCTTTCTTCCATTTTTCATCCTTCATGGCTTCTTCAACATCCACTGGTTCACTATCAATGAAATGACAGTAGAGTGTCAATTCATCACCTTCAATGGTTGTCGTTTCCTCATAAATTTCTTCAAGTCTCCTATACTTCTGTGGCCTTTCTCGGGGACTTTCACTAGATTTTCCTTCTGGGCTAGCAGGCTCTCTGTGACTGGGTGGACTTGTCACAGGTGTAGCTGTGTCTGGTTCATTATCACTTTCATCCATAGTGAATGGATAAAAAGTGTAATTCTTCTTTGCTTCAACAGTCCAGTCCCATGTTGCTTCTTCATCAACTACCACGTCTCTGCTGATGATCAATTTCTCTTCCACGGGATCAAACATTTTGTAACCTTTTGAGTGTTCTGAGTATCCCAGGAATATGTACTTCTTGCTTTTGTCATCCAACTTCTTCCTTTCTTGATCCGGTACGTGCACATATCCAACACTTCCGAAGACTCGGAGGTGAGAGATTATGGGTTTCCTTCCGCTCCATGCTTCTTGGGGTGTTTGATTCCAAACACTCTTTGTTGGTGACCTATTCAGCAGGTAGACTGCACAATCAACAGCTTCAGCCCATAGCTCCTTTGGCAGGTTCTTGCTCTTCATCATGCTTCTCGCCATGTTGAGGATAGTTCTGTTCTTCCTCTCAACAACTTCATTTTGCTGTGGGGATCTTGGGACTGTGAGAAACCTGCGAATTCCTTGATATTCACAGAACCTTCTGAACTTCTTCAACATAAATTCTCCCCCTCTATCTGATCTCAAGGCTTTGATGTAGCGGCCACTTTCATTTTCCACGAGCATCTTAAACTTCTTGAAAGCTTCAAATGTATCTGACTTCTGCTTCAAGAAGTATACCCATGTCTTTCTACTGTAGTCATCAATGAACAGTAGAAAATATTTATTCTTTCCGAACGATGTTGGGGTGATCGGTCCACAGAGATCTGCATGGACGAGCTCAAGTGGTGCCCTGAATTGCTTCCCAACTAAGCATCCTTCACATAGTTGGTCTGGATGATTGATGACTCGTAGACCACTCACCATCTTCTTCTGACCCAGTAACTTCAGGCCTCCAAAATTCAGATGGCCATACCTTAGATGCCATAGCCATGTTGTGTCTTTCACACATGCTTTTAGACACTTCGCCATTTCTATTTGAATGTTCAGGGTGAACATTCTGTTTCTCGACATTGGGACTCTGGCCAACAACTGCTTCTTCTCATTTAACAGCTCCAGTTGACGATTCACCATGTGGACTTCATAATTTTTCTCCATCAGCTGACCCAAACTCAGGATGTTACTAGTCATGTCTGGGACATAGTACACATCACTGATAGATTGCTGTGAGCCATTCTTGAGCCGGATGAGTATAGTTCCTCTGCCTTTGATAGGAACCTTCGAGGAGTCTCCAAATACGACATTTCCTTTCACTGATTCATCCATATCCACGAACATGTTTCTTTTTCCACACATGTGGTTGCTTGCTGCATTATCCAGATACCACATGTTATCTCTCGGTTTTTCATCTCCTTGATGTGACAACATCAATGTGCCTTTGACTTCTTCTTCTCGCACGTTGTTTGCTGTCTCCTCCACTTCTTTAGGCGAACTCCAAAATTCCGATGCAAAATGCCCGTACTTCGAGCAATTATAGGACTGTACGTTGGATTTATCACGACCTTCATTTGATCTCCAAATTCCTCTTCCACGTCCACGACCTCTGCCTCTGGTGGACGATTCATAGTTGTTCGTGGTGAAATTTCCTCCGTCTCTGCTTTGATATGCTCCCCGGGCTCTTCCTCTTCCTCTGCCTCTGTAGTTGCCTCTGCCTCGACCTCTGTTCTGACCTCCTCCTCGTGCACCTTCTTTCTCCTCAGTGGTAGCTTTTGTAGCTAACACTTGTTTTGACGATTCTTCATTTCTTTTATTTAGTCTTTCTTCACGTGCTTGCAATGAACCGATGACTTCATCCACGGTCATTTTTGGCACGTCTTTTGCTTCGTCCATGGCCACCACCACATAATCGAACTTCGGTAATAATGACCGTAGAATTTTCTCCACCACTTTGGTCTCTTCAATTTTCTCCCCATACTGCTTCAGCTTGCTGGCGATAGACTTCACACGGGCGGTGTAATCTGAAACAAATTCACCTTCCTTCATTTTTATGCTTCAAAATCTCCCCTGAGTGTCTGAAGTAGAACCTTCTTCACTGGTTCCACGCCTTGCATTTCCTTTTGCAAAATCTCCCATGCTTCCTTAGCTGTGGTAGCATCTGCTATTTGATCGAACATCGATTCATCAAGACATTGATGAATGAGAGTGAGTGCTTTCTGATCACTCTTTCGATTCTTTCTCAACACCTCCTTTTCAGCCGGAGATAATCGAGAATCCTCCACGGGAATCTCGTAGCCTTTTTCGACAATATCCCAAGCATCTTGGGATCCAAGCAAGGCTTTCATACGGATACACCAATTTTTATAATTGGTTTTGGTAAGGTGGGGAAATTGAATGGGGAAAGTAGATTTTTCGGCCATAGGACAATCGTGATAACAATAGCACGAGAAATTCTTTTCTGATGTGGAAGTTC